AACATTCAATTCATAAAATTAACATTGAAAATCCTCCAATAAAGATTTAATTTAGCAAATTAACACCAAAGTAACATGCAATTTTATCCAATAAACATTTAATTTTTCAAATAAATAACAAATTAACAGTCAATTCTTCAAATCAACATTCAATTTATCTAATAAACATTTAATTCATCAACTTAACATTCATACACATCTAATTAACATTCAATTCATCAAATTAATACAAAATTAAAATTCAATTCATTTAATTTATATGCAAATTCATTAAATTAACACTCAATTTATCAAATTAACATCGAAAATCACCCAATAAATGTTTAATTTAATAAAACAACATCAAAGTAACATACAATTTCATCTAATAAACATTTAATTCATCAAATCAATACCAAATTACTATTCAATTCAGCAAATTAACATTCAGTTTCATCTTCTTTTTTTTTCTCGGGAGAGGGAGGGGGGACTTGAACCCTTGACCTTAAGAAGGCAAAGCCTTGATAAGATAAGGAATACCATTGGACCAAAGGCCCGTTGATTAACATTCAGTTTCATCTAATAAACATTTAATTTATCAATAAATGCAATTAATATTTAATTAAATTAAATTAACATTCAATTCATCAAATTAATATAAAAAATCATCTAATAAAGATTTAATGCATTAAATCAACACCAAATTAACATTCTATTTCATATAATAAATATTCAATTCATTAAATTAACATCTAAATTAACTATTTAACTAGAAATCAACGCCAAACTAATATTCAATTCATCAAATAAACACAAAATTAATAAACATTTAATTCATCAAATTAACACCAAATAAACATTCAATTCAACAAATTAACATTACATTTCGTATAATAAATATTTAATTCATTAAATTAACATTTAAATTAACTATTTAAAATTAATTTCTTCAAATTAAGATTTAATTTCATCCAATTAATATTCAATTCATCAAATTAACATTAATAAACATTTAATTCATCAAATCAACACTAAATTAACATTTAATTCATCCAATATATATTAAAATTTATCAAATTTACACTCAAATCATCAAATTAATATCTAAAATCATCTAATAGAAATTCAATTTATTAAACCAACACCAATGTAATATAAAAATTCATCGAATAAACATTTAATTCATCAAATCAACACCAAATTAACATTCAATTCATTAAATTAACATTTAAATTAACTATTTAAAATTAATTTCTTCAAATTAAGATTCAATTTCATCCAATTAATATTCAATTTATCAAATTAACATTCAATGCTTCAAATTAACACTAAATTAACTTTCAATTCATCATATTAACACAAAATTAATATTCAATTCATCAAATTCACATTCAATTCCATGTAATAAACATTTAATTCATCAAATTAACTTAACATTCAATTCATCAAATTAATACTAAATTGACATTTAATTTTGCCAAATTATATTCAAATTAATCCAATTAGCACTAAATTCATCAAATTAACATCCAAAATCATCTAATAAAAATATAATTTATCAAACCAATACCAAATGCAATATAGAAATTTATCAAATAAACATTTAATTTATCAAATCAACACCAAATTAACATTCAATTTTGTAAAATAAACATTCAATTAATTAAATTAACTATTTAACATTAAATTTATCAAATTAACCTTCAATTTCAAACAATTAATATTCAATTCATTAAATTAACACCAAATTAACATTCAATTCATCAAACTAACACCAAATTAATATAAATTGTATGAATTGAATATAAATTTTGTATTGATTTCATCAATTGAATATAAATTTGGTGTTAATTTGATGAATGAATATATATTGGATGAATTTAATGTCAATATTTAAATTAAAATGTTAATTTTATAAATTGAATGTTTATTAGATGAAATGTAATGTTAATTTGGCATTGAGTTGATAAATTAAAAGTTTATTTGATGAATTTTCATATTACTTTGGTGTTGATTTGATAAATTAAATTTTTATTAGATAATTTTGGATGTTAATTTTGATAAATTGAGTGTTAATTGGATGAATTGAATGTTGATTTAGTGTTAATTTGATGAATTAAATATTAATTATATGATTAAATGTTAATTTGTTATTAATTTGATGAATTAAATATTAATTAGATGAAATTGAATGTTAATTTAATGAATTAAATGTTACTTGATAGTATTTTGTGTTAGGTTACACCTTTTTGGGGTTGCGACGGATGTGGATGAAGGATCCAATAAAAGTGGGAACTAAATTTTTTTCAAAAAATTCAATTGTTTTCTAAGGAAACATATCCTACCATTTTTTTTTTCAAAAAAACACTTTGCATCTCAAAAATATTTTTTATTCTCAAACAATGCAAAAATATTTTTTATTTTCAAACAAGTTATATGTATGAGTACAGGGAGGGAGAGAAGACAAGAGAAGTGATTTGGACGGGAAAGGCAGAAAAAGACCGAAAACATGGTAGAGAGATAATGTTATTGTCGACCATATATGTTCAAAATAAAAAAAATAAATTAATAAATAAATAACTGGATATTAGTGTAAAGAATGATTAATAAATGAGGCACGATCGGCCATAAGAATGAGCGATCGGTCGTAATATAAAGGATTTGATATTACACTTCTATCCCTTAACTACTACACTTTTCTCCCTTCAATAATCACAAAATTTTTTAGTTTAGTCCAAACATATTCAATATTTTTAAATAGTTTCGCTTTTAAAAATGAAATAAATTAAAATGTTATGAGACAAAATTACAATTATCAACATTTACAAATAATATAATTAACCATTTAATAATGTTGTAATAATTATATATTTATGATTGGTCCTAACTTTTTGAGTTTTTTTCCAGTGGGACACAAAATTAATAAAAGTCAAAGGATAAATGTGTTATTAACAACAAATAAATAAATTAGGACCGCCAATGCTACCTCACGATTGGAGGGGTCCAACTTCTAGTTTTTTGATTAAGTTACAACTTTTGGGGTGGGTTCAAATTGTTTAGGGTCTAATTTTTGGCGTTGAGTTCCAACTTTTCTTGATAGGGGGTCAACTTTTATGATAGATAAATTTTGAGAGGGTTTCAACTTGTCTGGAGGGATCCAATTTTTGTGGGATAAAGTCTAACTTTTTTGGGTTGAATTCTAACTTTTGTAAGATGGCGTCCAACTTTTTCGGGTGGGCTTCAACCTTTTTGGGTTGAGTTCCAATTTTTTTGGATGGATTCCAACTCTTATGGATTGATTTACAATACAACTCTTTAGGTCAGCTTCCAAATTTTGAATTGTTTCGCTTACAACCTTTTGGAATTGTTTTCCACTTTTTGGGGTGGTGGAGTTATTACTTTTTAGGGTGGAGTTATAATTTTTGGAATTGGTTACCACTGTTAGGGTGGATTCTAACTTTTTGTGTGGGGTTTAACTTTTTTGGGTTGAGTTTTAATTTTTTTGGCAGGATTCCGACTTTTATGAATGATTAGGTTTCAACTTTTTGAGTAGATTTCCACTTTGTTGTGATGAGGTCCAACTTTTTTGGGTTGGATTTCAATTTTTTTTGTATGAGTTTCAACTTTTATGAATGATTATATTACAATTTTGTGAGATAGATTCCAACATTTATGGATTGAGTTAAAACTTTTTGAATCGACTTCCAACTTTTGGGTTGTTTTGCTTACAACCTTTTTGGGATTAGTTCCTACCTTTTTGGAGTAGAGTTATTATCTTTTAGGGTAAGGTTACAATTTTTGGGGTACGTTACCACTGTTGAGTTGTAGGTTATAACTTTTGAATGTGAGTCTATCACATTTTTAGATTATGTTACTAATTTTTTAGTCCGACAATATTTAATTTTTAAGTAAAACTCATGATTACTTCTTCAACAAGTAACCAGTATCCTCCATGCAAAACTCATCAACGGCTAGAAATCTATAACAAATACATCAATGGTCTAAAATTTTTAGAGCTACCGTGTCGAATAATATTTTTCAATATAGTAAAACAATCCGAAATTCTAAAGGAATTTGGCCAAGTCCTAAGAGTTATACTATTTTAATACGTTCACACTAGCCACAAGATTGTAATATTTTACAATCAATAGACTTCTTCGTTAAGAAAGTATGACCCTAGAAAAAGACTCTTTTTTTTTTTTTGGGTACATCTAGAATAAGACTTTGAGAGAGGGGACCAGTACGAAAGAGGGAGAGTACAAGTAAGACACCCAAATTCCTGCCTCAATACTAATGGGACTTCGACTAAGGTACGAAAAAATAAAATTTTGGTATTATATCAAAATTTATTACAATTATGAATATATTATTATTATTATTAGTGTTTTTATCATTATTATGGTATTCAAAAAATTAATAAAAATAATTATTACAATAGTAATAAAAATATTTATAATAATGGTAAAAATACCCACAAATGATAAATTATCCATAAAAGTAATAAATATTTTTATTGTAAAATAATCAACACAAATTATAAAAACACGATTTAAAATATGATCAGTGGATCAATAAAAGATAACAAAATCTAACCATTTCATTGTTTAATTTGAATAAAAGTTTATAGTCTCTCTTGATTGGAATAAAAAATTGAGTTTTTTTTAATTTGGTATGAGTTTTGATACATGATCTCGGGCAAATTTTTTAGATTATTTTTATTCAAATTTAAATTTAAATCTAAAAAATGGTAAAAATTAAAGATGCTAGAAGGCAATTTGCACTTGTTAATCATGGAATGAATCTTCAGAGAGAATTCTATAAGGATATATGTGGTAAATCACCATCTACCTTAAAAACTTAAATTAATAGAGATGATATAGATAATTGAAGTATTTACATCTCAACGATGCGTACCAAAAAAAAAAAAAACATTTTTGTTTTCCTAATTACAACACTATCAAGAAGCCCTTAATTACCTTAAGCTTATTGAAGGACAAGTAGATATCATCTTCTAAAAATAATTACAAGAGCTTCCATGCTCTACCTCCATCCATATTGAACTTCTTCAGTCTTCCTAAAATCATGACAACAATGAGAATAATTTTGCCTTCATCACTCCATTTTCCTGAGAATCCATACCATTTGTTCTTACAAGTTCCACTAGGTTTTAGCTGATGATCACAACTATAACCAGTCGAAAATCCGACATTTCCGTATGCACTGAAATCAAATCAATTACAAAAGCAAATATCATTAGTTAATTTTAATATTTTGCACTTATTCGAATCGAGAAATTTAGTCTAGGAAAATCCAAAAATCAAAGCATACGCGCCATGAATTCGTAACTATATTGAATGATGAGAATGCTACCATTTTATAAGTCTAATGAGGTTCTTAATGAACCATGTTTCTTAATATTAAACAAATGAACTTCATTCAAACCATCAAAACAAGATCTAATTTTCTTATTATTATATGTTGCAAGAAATAAATGAATGTATACACGCCATGGTCTTTCTTTTGGTAGAAGTAAATGTGCGTGCAAGATCCTGCACAATATAAAAAACGAGAACAGATCTCTCCCTTGGTGAACTCAAGTGAGCCAGTTGAGTGACCAACCACGCTGCTTGGAACAGCCTGCGAGGTCCGGTGGTAACCTGGAACGGCAACGGGAGACCCTGGGGGAGCGGAAGAACGATCCAGTAAGGCTGAAAGAGGTTCCTGGAACGAAAAAGAACAAGTTAGAAGGGCGCCGGAGTGTTTTTCGGCGTATCCCCTCCGACGATCTAGTCAGTCTTTGAGAAAGAGAGAGGAAGGAGAAAACACTGAGTGTGTATTGTAGTAAATAGTTTTTTGTTGCATACCCGTCTTGCCTTTTGCAAGGAGTATTTATACCTCAAAAGCTCATGATTACTGTCAGTGTAGTCAGTAGGTGATCATTAGGTACAGGCAGTGTGCACACTGATTCTGATGAGGAATGTCTTCTCTTCTTAACTGCTCGGGGTCCCGAGCAATCAATGTTGTGTCATCGGGATGCCGACGGTACAATGTACTCCTCTCGGGGAGGATGCAATAAATGCTCTGTATTAGGAGCATTTATTGCCTTTCATTTCTGAGCCTTACCGCATTGAATGCGGTCTCGTCAAGGGAATGGTGTAATTAATCGTTTGTTTTCCCAAGTCGCGTGTCAGCAACGGCATGCGGTTTCTCTGTCTTCGATGTGATATCATATGTCACGCGTCCATCCCTCATTGGCTGTGGCCCCTGCATTCCAGTACGTTCTGACACTAATTGTGTAAGACGAGGTCATGATGAATAGCCTAGACTAGCCTAGGCTAATGACCTGTACGTCAATAGCTTATCCTGGAGTAGAGGAAGCGTCCAGGACGGGGTACCTCTCGGCACCGAGGAAAGGCCATTTCGGAACCGAGGGAGGTATACCGACTGAGGTACCATATCAGACCGAGGCTACGTGTTGGTTGTAACTAAATGTCATGATCCTATATGACGAGTACCTCGGGGGCGAGGACCTTTGTGCGCCGATGGTGCTTGATCTTAGCAACAGTGTTTTGATAAATATCGAGGACACGTGTCTTCATCATGGAATATTTCAGAAAAGTCCCATCAGTAAACTTGCTCCATACACATCTTAGAAACAATAAGCAACATATCCAGTAAAAGGGAAAAAAAATTAGAATTAAACAACATATAAATGCAAAACTAGCTTTGATTGAATGTGAATGAAAAGACTTTCTTTATGATAGTTATGATGTCATGTGATTTACTTTAGGTCAGCTAAAAAGATTTACTTCGAATTTGTTAAAACAATTTTTCCCATTCAATTGGGAAAAAAATTACTAAGATAATTTGTATGTGGTATTACTAAAATTTGTTTTCCTTATATTATTGTATTTGTTCTTCTTTCAATAAGAAATATGATACGAAAAATAAAAGAATGACCGAAATCAAACTGAAAATATTACCTTATTACTTCAACGACGATGTTCAAGACATTGAAATTGAGAGGATCTTCCACCACCTTTTTCCTCTCTGCAATGCAAACAGCAATAACAAAGATGACAAGATAAGAAAGTTGTGAAAATAATAGATTTTCCACAACCTTTCCCTTGCTTTTTTTTCTTCCCTCAAACTCTTGTGAATACTTTCCATTGTCTTTTATGATCGGAAAGAACAAAGTATACGGTGGAAGGTACCTGTTAAATATTTCACCATAATAAAAAATTATATTTCACATCAAGAATAAAATAAAATGTCAAAATATTATTATCTCCGAAAATTTTCTTCCCAAACAAGTTTGTTAGTCAAAATGGGATGAAATGATGTTTTCATCTCTTTAACTTGTCCCAGCTTTGATTTAAACAAGATATGACAACATGGTAAACCAAATATTACTGAATTCGATATTGAATTAGAATCATCTGCTCCAAAGCACTTAAAAATGGGCAGCAATGGCTTGTAAGTTTACTTTGAAATACAAAAAATGGTGTGGTTTATTAGCAAACGAGTTAAAAAAATATGAATTATTTGGGAGGGCCAAATACATCGTACCAGAACCAAACAACCTCATATTTGTCTCGTATTTACGATACTTACATTCATGGTCCAATAATGCACTTTTCAACTCCATAATAATACATATAATTTATAATCATGGAATAATTTTTAATACCAACTTGCCAATAATGACTCTTTATTCAGTGCGCATGAAATCTAAACAAGATTTTCTTGAAAATGTGGAAGTTTAGGGGGATTCTGGTTCCAAAGAAAACTGAGTCAGGTTCTCTCCCAAACCCCTCTATACAAGCTTCATTTTACATTTAAAAGGCTGATGGAACTTGGGTCACCCTTCATATTGGGTGATGTGTAAAGATGGCACCCCAATCCTAAGAGGGCGCCGTCCCGGGGGGTGAAGGGAGACAGAGTGAGATACTGTACCCAAAAAGACGTCGTGTCAATTGCAGAACAACATCGTTTTATAAGTAAGAAAATGGAATCTACACAACTAAGAGGTATGCCTCTGTTTTGAATCATGTCACAATAGAGTGGGCAAGAGAAGGACGAGACAAGTGAGACCCTTTTCTAGCACGAGAAAGGTCCATTTAACTAATGTTTTGGGGATGTTGAATGAGATTTTTTTCTCTTTTTTTTTTTTTTTTAATATTGATGGTGTATTTCAACGTGGATGAGCTTAAGGTACAAGTAACGTGAGATGAGCGTGGATCAGAGTTTCGAGGCTCGTGTATGATGCTATAATAAAATATTGAGAGGATTAAAGGGGTGTACACAGTGAAAATATAGTGGTTCACCAACTCGAGAGTTCGGCTAATCCACTCTTCAATGGAGATTTTTGCTCCTTCCTTCACTATTTACTATACCAAAAGGTTTACAGACTGTAAGATGTGATACTAGGGTTCTGCCCCTCTGTTGGGAGTGTTACATAGTATTTATAGGGCTTTTCCTAATTCTACGGGATCCGCCCTAAGATCTTCGCCATTTATCCGAGGAATCCTCTTTGATCTTAGGAGGAGATCTTTCCTGGATGAGAGTTTTATGTTTTGATTATGACTCTTTGCTACTTCTAGGGTTTCTGTTGAAAAATAATTATCTCTTTATTATTTTCGCTGTTGTTTCAATTAGACTGAACTTTACTCTGATTTTATGAGCTCTATACGTTTGACCTCCGTTGCCGAACTCATACTTGAGAATTGCTTTAAATATCATCAAGTATAATTGACAAAATAGAGAGAGAGAGAGACTAACATCATTACGACGAACAACACCAAGATGGCTGGAGCGATGGTTGAGATATCAACAATAGTTTCGCCGGCGTGTCTTGTATTAACTGTTTGAAATAGTACACTGACAACTTTCTGATAAACGTTCAATCCATTCAAGGCTGCTGAATCCCACTCCATAGAGCAAAATAAAATAAACTCTATTAAGATGAACCCAAAAACTGTAACTACCAGAAGTGAAGAATGAAGAGTTGGAAGCAAGTGAAGATACCCAATCTCTCTCGTATTTTTCAACAAGTAATTACATTCCCTCTTCTTAAAAAATTTTCCTAGAAACCATATAGAGAACCTCAAGCAGGATGGAAATAAGGTGTTTCCAAAAAGGATTTGAGGGATTAGAATTAAAAGAAGACCCGAATTCTTACTGAAAACCATCATGTTTTCGTTTGTTGGGACAAAACCACAGTTTGTAAATGTTGAAACTATGGTGAAAACAGAGAAAGTGAACATCTTAAGACCCTTGTTCTTTAGTATATTTTTTGCACTTGAAACTACGGTGAGATAAACTGAAACGAACGCGATGCCAAAGATTTGAATGACTAGAAGATAAACCAAAACTAGAAAACACAAAAAATTGACCGAATTGTACTTCAAATACTTCCTATCTAATGACTCGGTTTGGTCGTGAAACTCAATTTCCGAATTCGATTTCTCAGAATCAAGCATTGTTGTTACCATGCCCAACTCTTTGTGGTGGAGAAAATCTTCTGAAACTGTAAGGCTAAGGTTTCTTCTATTGGCTTGGTTTTCATTTTCCTCGAATAATCTACTGAGTTTGAATCTCTTAAAACAAAGTCCAACCATGGAAGTGAAAACCTCACCACCTATGAACATCAAGATAGTCAAAACTATCAGCTGATTATTGGAAAAGACCTCCATTTCGACAGTGGACATGCTTGACACTGTTGTAGCAGACACGGATGTGAAGAACAAATCCAAGTTCCGAGGTGTAAACGACGGCTCGGTTCTTGGCTTCAAAACTTTGAGGATCAAAAACCCAAGAAAAGAAATAGAGATAAAATAGAGAAGTTGTACTGAAAAAGGGTTCATTCGAAGCGTGATGTGCCGATAAACTTCGAGAATGTTTATTTTTTCTTGCAATCAAGCTTGAATGAGGGAGTGATATATATAGCGGTGGTGTCATGGTACCGTATTACGATTTGAAGGGTAGTGAGGTCTTTCAACGTGTCTGGACAAAAATAAAATAAACTAAATAGTTTATGGACAAAATAAAATAATTATTTAAGTGATAACATGAACGAGTTGTAAATCTAGATATTCTGAATTTGAATTTTTATAATTTATGAGGTCAAGTTATGACGGATTTTGATTTATCAATATGTTTTAAATTGTTATAATATACTATGAATTTAGAAAATAACTTATTCTACGGGATATATTAAGTAATTAATTCTAAATGATTCTTTAGCTGAGTGTAATTTTTGTTAAGAAATATAGAGTTATTGGTTATTTTGTTTATTAAGGGTAGAATAATTCTTTACTTTCTCTTTGTTTAGCCTATATATAATCTCTTTGTATTTAAGTTAAGTCACTTCTTTGTATTCAATTGAATTATACAGTATCAATAAAACTCTAACCTCCTCTTTTCTTATCTCTTGTATTTTTCTTTTATTATACTGTTTAATATGGTATCAGAGCAAAATTTCATGGGACAAGACTTAATCTCAAACACAGCTTACGCGGATCCAACTTTTTGGGAAGGTATTCGTTCTGTTTTTGCAATCTGGTTTTCTTTGTTTTTTGATTATGGCTACTGAAAGAGACGATTCACTTCAGTCTGTGAGTGTGAGGTTGGATAGAAAGAATTATTCGTATTAGAGTTATGTGATGAGAAATTTTCTTAAGGGTAAAAAGATGTGGGGGTATGTTAGTGGAACTTCTGTGAAACCTAAGAAAACTGATGTGGGTTATGCTACTTTGATAGATGCCTGAGAAGCAGACAATACAAAAATTATTATTTGGATTAACAATTCTGTTGAGCATTCTATAGGTACACAGTTGGCAAAGTATGAGACAACAAAAGAGATTTGAGATCATCTGCAAAGGTTATTTACTTAATCAAATTTTGTAAAACAGTTTCAATTGGAGAATGACATACGAGCTCTTCAGCAGAAAAATATGAGTATTCAGGAGTTTTATTCTGCTATGACAGATCTTTGGGATCAATTGGCTCTTACAGAATCGGTCGAATTAAAGGCATGGGGTGCCTATATTGCTCGTAGAGAGTAGCAACGGTTGGTACAGTTTTTAACGGCACTTCATAATGATTTTGAAGGACTTCGAGGTTCAATTTTACATCGTTCTCCGCTTCCTTCTATTGACTCAGTTATCAGTGAGTTATTAGCTGAAGAAATACGCCTTAAGTCTTATTCTTAAAAGGGAATTTTTTCTACTTCTAATCTTTCTGTGCTAGCAGTACCTTCTAAACCATTCTCTAATAATTAGAATAAGCCTTACACAAAGACTGTCTTCAACAAATGCAGTTTTTGTAAGCAAAAAGGTCATTGGAAGACTCAATGTCCTAAATTAAGACAGTAGAATCAATCGCAGCAACAATCTCAAGCTTGGAAGTCTGGCAACCAATCAAAATCTAATGTTTATAGACCACCTCAGGGTTACAAACCACCACAGTCTCATACTGCAGCAGTGGCTTCATCAAGTCTTTTCACTGATTATAGTACTTTGGCTGAGTAATTTCAGAAGTTTCTCTCCTTACAGCCACAAGCTATGTCTACTTCTTCTTCTTCCATAGGTCAATTGTCTCATAATTATTCAGGTATGTCACATTTTGTATGGGTCTTCAGGTATCTCCTTCATCTTCTATTCCTGTTATGACTGTTGATGACACTCATATGCCTTTAGCAAGTGTTGGTTCTATTGTCATACATCACTTGTCTCTCCCTAATGTTTATCATATTCTGAAACTCACATTAAATCTTGCTTCTGTTGGTCAGTTATGTGATTCTAGTAATTTAGTCACCTTTTCCTCTTCTTCTTGTTATGTGCAAGATCTGCAGTCTCAGAAGTTGATTGGGACGGGTTGTAGGAAGGGGAGACTATATATTTTGGCTGAGTTAAAAGTGTTAGTTGTTGCTACTAGTGTTGATTTATCTTCTTTTCGTTTGAATCTTTCTTCTTCTAGTTTTTATTTATGGCATTCTCGTCTAGGTCATGTTTCGTCTTCTCGTTCGAGATTTTTGGCATCCACAAGGGCTTTAAGAAATTTGCAAACTTGTGATATTTCTAATTATAGTGGATGTAAACTGGCAAAATTTTCAGCATTACCTTTTAATCGAAGTATTTCTGTTTCTTTTTCTCCATTTGATTTGATTCATTCTGATGTATGGGGACCTTCTCCTATTGACACAAAAGGAGAGTCTCGATATTATGTTTTTTTTATTGATACTCATACGCGTTATTGTTGGATTTATTTAATGAAATATCGTTCTGAATTTTTTGAGATATATACAGCCTTTTGAGCTCTTGTCAAAACTCAACATTCTGTTGTTATCAAATATTTTAGGTGTGATTTGGGTGGGGAATACACTTCTAATAAATTTGATGAGTTACTTGTCTTAGATGAAACTCTTCACCAAACTTCGTGTACAGATACTCCTGAGCAAAATGGTGTTGCTGAAAGAAAACATAGGCACATTGTTGAAACTGCTCGTTCTCTCTTGTTGTCTGCTTCTGTTCCTAGTGAGTTTTGGGGTGAAGTTGTTCTTATTACTGTAGGTTTGATTAATACAATTTCATCTTCTCATATTTCAGGTGTTTCTTCTTTTGAAAAGGTGTATGGGTATGCCCCTGATTATTCTTCCTTTAGAGTTTTTGGTTGTACTTGTTTCGTTCTTCGTCCTCATGTTGAACGCAGCAAAGCTGTCCTCTCGATCTGCTATTTGTGTCTTTCTTGGTTATGGTGAAGGTAAAAAGGGGTATTATTTTTTTGATCCAATAACTCATAAACTTTATGTGTCTCGTCATGTTGATTTTCTCGAGCATATACCTTTTTTTTCTATTCCATCCACTACTCATAACTTGACTAGATGATCTTATTCGTATAGATTCTTTTTCTAAGGATTCTGATAGTTTGTCATCTCAGGTTTCTAGTACTTCAAATACCCCTTCTCATGTTCTTACCTCGTTACCTTTACATTATACTCGACCAATTCGTACTGATCATTCTGCAGGAACTGACACTTTACTCTCTGGCACACCTGAAGCTACCTCTTCTCCTATGGTCCCTCAAGCTCCATCTGAGATTGTGGATCCACCTCTACGTCAATCCATATGCATTCGTAAGTCCACAAAGTTACTAGATTTTGTTTATTCTTGTTATTCTTCATCTTTTACTTCCTTTTTAGCTTCTATTCATTGTCTCTCTGAGCCCTCTTCCTATAAAGAGACAATTCTTGATTCTCTTTAGCAGCAAGCTATGGATGAGGAACTTTCTGCTTTGCAAAAGACAAGTACTTGTCATTTGGTTCTTCTACCTCTTGGTAAGAGTGTTGTTGGTTGTCGTTGGGGGGATAAGATCAAGACTAATTCTGATGGATCTGTTGAGCTATACAAAGCTAGGTTGGTTACAAAAGGGTACTCTCAACAGTATGGTATGGATTATGAGAAGACATTTGCTCATGTTGCAAAAATGACTACTATTCGTACTCTTATTGCAGTTGCTTTGGTTCGTCAGTGGCATATCTCTCAAATTGATGTTAAAAATGTCTTATTGAATGGAGATCTTCAAGAAGAAGTTTATATGGCGCCCCCTCCTGGTATTTCACATGATTCTGGGTATGTTTGCAAGCTCAAGAAAGCATTATATGGTCTCAAACAAGCACCTCGTGCTTGGTTTGAGAAATTTTCTATTGTGATATCTTCCCTTAGATTTGCTTCTAATAGTTATGATTATGCTCTTTTTGTTATGTGCACTGATGCAAGTCGTATCATTCTGTCTTTATATGTTGATGACATGATTATTACTTGTGATGATATTGACGGTATTTCAGTTTTGAAGACAGAGTTAGTTAGACAGTTTGAAATGAAGGATTTGGGTTATCTACGATACTTCTTGGGTATTGAGGTAGCCTGCGCACCTAGAGGTTATCTTCTTTCTCAATCGAAATATGTTGCAGATATTTTTGAGCGAGCTAGACTTACTGATAATAAGACTGTAGACACTCTCATTGAGGTTAACGCAAAGTATTCTTTTTCTGATGGTTTACCTTTGTCAGATTCTACTTTATACTGTACTATTGTTGGGAGCTTGGTATATCTCACTATTACTCGTCCAGATATTGCATATGTTGTTCATGTTGTTAGTCAGTTTGTTGCTTCTCCTACTACAGTTCATTGGGCAGCTGTTCTTCATATTTTGCGGTATCTTCGGGGTATAGTCTTTCAGAGTCTTTTACTTCCATCCACCTCTTCCTTGGAGCTGTGTGCATACTCTGATGCTAATCATGACAGTGATCCCACAGACCGCAAGTCTGTTACTGATTTTTGTATCTTTTTGGGTGATTCTCTTATTTCTTGGAAGAACAAGAAACAATCTATTGTTTCTCAATCTTCAACCGAAGCAGAATATCGTGCTATGACATCTACTACCAAAAAGATTGTTTGGTTACTTTGGTTACTTGCAAATATGAGAGTTTCTCTTTCTCATCTCACTCCTATGTATTGTGACAACTAGAGTTCTATTCAGATTGCTCGTAACTCGGTTTTTCATGAACGAACTAAGCACGTTGAGATCGATTGTCACCTTACTCGTCATCATCTCAAGAATGACACCATTACTTTACCATTTGTTTCTTCTTCTTTGCAAATTGCAGATTTTTTTACCAAGTCGCATTTTATTTCCCGTTTTCGTTTTCTAGTTGGCAAACTCTCGATGCGTGTAGCTGCCGCATCGTGAGTTTGAGAGGAGATGTTAAGAAATATAGGATTATTGGTTATTTTATTTATTAAGGGTAGAATAATCATTTGCTTTCTCTTTGTTTAGCCTATATATAGTCTCTTTGAATTTAGGT